TATATATTCTTTAATGGGCCCCAAATATGGCAGACTATAAAGATATCCGCTTTAACGTCGATTTCCATTGGACGCGGTAATGATAATAGTGGCAAACAAGATAGAATCAATAGAATCATAGTCATAGAGCACACTGAACTCCACGCAACTACTTGGTAATAGGTTCTACATTTTTTGCCAAGGTCGATTGCCTTTACCGTGTCTGCCTTAAGTAAACCATGCCAGCACTAAATTAACTGGGTCGTTCAAGAGGAGTGTTTGCGGAACAATTTAAGATGTTTTTTCCGCATTTTAACACAGATATGTATAGGCCTACTGTACCTTTAAATTCTAAAGGTAAGTCCTGTCTGTGTTAAAATCCTGAAAAAACACATCATTTTTCAGAATATTAGCTCATTTAAAAGAATCAAATAACTTTACAATATTGATAGAAACAGAAAGAAACAAATAATTTTCGTTGATTTACAGACGATTTATTACATGTTAATATAGAAATATAGTGTATGCACCTTTCAATTGATCTCGTTGTAGGCCTAATCTTAAAATTAAAGCTAATGACATGTATATGAAATAAGCAATTCCTATATCTAATGTTACTATAAGCTTATAAACACAGACAGGAGGCCTATTTAACGAGAACCGGGTCAAAGCCGCGAAATGATTGTGCCATAGGCCTATTACTGATACCCCCATTAAATTAGTTCTCCCTCGTCTCTCAAAATCATTTTCTAGCTCAACAGTTTACAATTCTCATTTATATCCGAGTTTATTTCGCTAATGTTTTTATGAATGTATTGCGATCAATCATTTAGATCGTTCTGTTTCTGAATATCAAACTGAATTCTACGTAAAACTGCTCTCCAAACTACCTTTGATCACAATCGGCAAGTACTTTGTAATGTTCTGCAAATATGTATTACAACGCAGCGGTTGCATCGTTCAAGCAATGATAATTCTTAATGCGTTAGTTATGAGTGCAACAACAGTTAATCTAAATCTTATTTTATTATAGAACGTGTTGGTTATAGAGGAAAGAGAGATAATCGATGAGGTTACACACCTCGCTAGCATTAAATCTATAGGCTAAAATACGACTGACTTCTTATGCCTTAATTAGTTTTATTTATTTATTATTGTTGTATTATTGTATAATGTGATCGTTTAAGCGCATGGAAACCTATTTTTTGTATATCATTAAAATTATATTGTTATTATCATTGTTATCAGCGTCAACACCACCACAGTCGTCGTGATCATTGTACTGTAATCATAGCCTATATTGTTTAAGTTTTAACCATATTATTTATTAATGATATTCCTAACCATTTTGCGTGTTACCTGAATAAGTATATAAATAAGTATTACCGACTATCATTATTTTTATTTAGTACCGGTATGTTGCTAAACTTGTTATCGTTACAGGCCTATAAAAAAATAGATTATTATGAATATTCATTGTGAATAAAATAATAATAATAATAGTAACAAAAATATTATCATCATTATTATCATGAAGACGATTGAAGCATCTCAATCGAAACGTCGAGACTTTCTCAACTACAACAGTTCTTTTCAGAACTACTTACGTGGTGTACCGCAAGCTTCAACATATATATTATTTCTTCGCCATGCAAAACTTTAAGCAATATATCATTATTATCATTTAGGCATAATAATGTCTTATTATAAACATCTTAGGTAATCGAAGGTGGTGAGCAAATTCATGTTTACATTCCTACTATTAAAATTATGTTTTATTATTTGTATATTATATATTATTTTTTATTCTTAGAGGTTGACATTCGATACCAAGCTAACAACTGTATAAAAAATAAACATGTTCTTTTAACTAAACACCATTGCTCCCTGCAAGGTTAAAAACGGCATTCATCAACATAATACCATGCAATGGACCTTTCCGCTAAGCCCCGCCCCTCGGATATTGTTGCTAAGGTCCTACAAGGCGACAGTGTTAAAACATACGCGAACACATGCGTTTGTGGGACAACGCGTGTGTTTGTGAGACGCGCGCGTATTCCTAGCGCTGTTCTGATTAGTCAGTTGTTAAGTTTGATTGACACTCCGGAAAGGTCAATTATCACCTTCAAATCCAGGAAAACACTTGGGTCCGTCAGTCCCACAGAAGTATCGATTTTCGCCTTTGGAAGCGTCACAGTATTTTTCACAGTTCTCTCCGTAGTATCCTGGGTCGCATGAAATACTTAACTCCACTGTTGTACTGCAATGGATCATTATAAAGAACGGTAATTGGTAATTTTGCCTCGATCATTAATGAAGCTTATTAATTACTGTCAATTGAACTGATGACTGATTCTCATTAGAACAGAATTAGAATATCATTAGAATTTCGTCATTTAACCAAGTTTCTATAGTAACCAGTTATGAAAGCTAAAATTGTGTCTTATACACATCTAGATGTGTATAAGAGACAGATGTTAGGCTGTAGTAAGAGATGTTTGCGAAATGCATTGTAATGATGCATTTATTTTGACAAAGGAATGGAAATATTATTGTGTTTTGAAAGTAAACCTCTTGATGTTGTCGGAAATCCTCAGGAAAAAGGTAATATGTTTGTGCTGTAGTTAACTTCTGGGTATGGAGAAACATCTTCATGAGTTATATAAAGATGTTAAATACCGGTAGTAGGTTTCAATGTATAAATGTATATTTATAGCATTATATTTATACATGTATTTACACACAGTTATGTTCTCAAAAGTACTGTACAAACACCCTAACTAAAACACAGTTGCTACAGCTTACTTTGAAACTGTCCCTTTCAGTGTTTGAATCTGTGGTAATCCATTGGCTGGAAGTAGTATTTGTTGAAAGAAGTGGTCTATACGATCATTCGCATCCTTACTATCATGGTCCCAGATTTCTACTTCGAAGAAAAGGTTTCCCTGCAATAAAGCAACATGTTCCAATGTACGATATTCAATTGTATACAATGGCTCGTGTTCACTATAAAGAACCCAGTACATCCTTCGAGACGAGTAGGGGGATACCCGGTGTACTAGAACAGACAGCCCCTGTGGTGGACGACGAGAGTTGCTGGTACCGGGTTACCGGGTAGCACAGACACGAAGGGACCCTTAGGGGCGAAGAAAGTCATTGATCGAGTTCCTAGTCCACATATCAAGCGCCCTAAGCATCTTACATTAGATGGATATGTGCGCTATATAAAACTACACTATTATTATTATTATTATTATTAATTCTACAAACTGCCTTGCGGTTTATAATACACAAATCTTATTGGAAGGCAACTGTTTAATTGATGATATTAATAATAATAAACCTAATATTAATAATAAAATGATGATTAACAACAATAATGATAATAATATTAAAAATAGTAATAATAATAAAACAATAAGAACAATAACTATTATAAAAAGGTGTCTACAAACAAAGGAACTTACTGTCCAATTTGTGAATTTAAATTTAAATGGGTTTGCCATTTTTCCTGTCTCGTCATCGGTAGCTATACGATCAGGAAAATTAAATTCGTCCATATTTCTAAATATTTTTCCTGTTTTTAAATCAGCATCACAATCCTTCTCTTTCAACCCACTGTAAATGGAAATGCATATATCAAAATACCAAGTGACTTAAGTTATTTCTAAAATAGGCCAGTTACACACAAATATGCGTGAATAATCACAGGTATCCCAAGGTATGCCTATGTTGGCATGCTATAGGAAATATATATGCATGAATGTATATTGTAGATATCTAAGCCAATGTGTGTAGGTAGGTCTATGTATTTTGGTATGTACATATGTATTATGGTACTGTATGTAAATGGGTGTGTTATGTTTCTGTTTGTACCCACACATCCACATTTTGCAATACAATATTTTTAATTATGTGTTATTAAAAAGAATGCAATGCGAAAAATGCATACAATTTAAAACATACAGAACGATTCATGAATCAATTTAAAAATAAAAATTCAATAACAAATGTAATTGTTCATTTACAAGAATGACATAGTTAATAACTTCTAACGCTTCAGTACGAAATAATTAAAAATCAGCCAATTTAATGGTTAAGAGATGTGTATAAGAGACAGTATATATATATATATATATATATATATTCAAAAAGCAACTTTTCAAGCTTTTTAATTAGCACATTATTGTTTTACTTTAAACATTAATTATAGCTCTGCTGTTAATTCTTACCATAAACGCATGGTAAAAATAAAGGCTGGCAATACGTCTTAGGTTAGACCTTGGCCTATTTTGAACAAGCAGACAGACACCACTGATTTCCATAATGTCACTGTCATTTGACAACTTAACACTTGTTTTGCCTTATATAATTTCGTTTTTGAATCTTGGTTATAAAAACATATTTCTGTCAAATAATTCGCTAGATTTGACACCTGAATATTGTTTCCAGGCTTTCAAATTTTCTTTTACAAAAAAAACCCCCCAAAAACATAGGCCTATACCTATATGCGGTCATGATGTGACGTCAACATGACCATATTTAGACATGTCACATGTTTTTTTGTCAAATAAAAGTTGATAATCTGGACAGGGCTTATTAAGATCACTTGGTGATGGCACAACGGGATTGACATGTTGCATAACAAATAATATTTTAGAAATATTTATAAAAAGTGCGAAAACTAAGTGGCATTCAAAGCGCGAGAACTAATGTTTCAATGTGCAACATTAAGTTTTGGATAGCGAATGAATTACAGAGTGACAGTTGTGTTACATATGTGGAAAATTATTTAAAAGTTCGATTTCCGTTGTTACAAAGCAGGACAAGATTTAGACCTGTTTACAAGTGCGATTCGATTATTACAAATTGCGACATGTTACAGAATGTACGAAGTGAGATATTTTGATAATAGAAAGTGCGATATTACAGACGCATACTTGCCCACCATTCATTATCATTATCATCATCATCATCGTCATCACAATCATTAACATCATCATCAGCAGCAGCATGTCGGGCTACTGCTAGCCGATGACCTCAAACACCAACCATTCTTGTCTATTCTTTGCCAGATTTGTCCAGTTTTTTCCGAGCTCTTTCTGGAAAGATTACTCCATCACTTGTGTGACCTTCCTCTTTTTCTTTTGCTGCCGTATGTCGTCCATACTGTTACGGTGATTTTTTAGCACACCTTTCATTTATTATATAGACCTTAACAATTAACTGTCAATTAGTTTAAACCTTTTTCGATAAATACCGATGTCTCATTAAGAGGTCAGAGGTTCAATCCCTCATTGTGCATTTTGCTTGTTTCCTTAGGCAATGCACTTTACCTACAGTTGACTCTTTCTCCACCCAGGAGTACAAGTGAGTACCTGGTGGTTCAAACACATAACATTACGGAATTATCCCCAAGGCGCTGCGTATGTATTCCATATGTGATTAATCCAATGACAGGAGGTAATAATGTAGAGGCCTTGTTGGCATGAAGGGCTAATATACATAGGCAAAAATATCCCGTTGGTTTATGCTTTGATTTAGACAAATTCAATGTTAAAATTATTTGTTAGTGGTTCCTTTTAAAAGTGTCCCCATATTCAAATTAGCAACTAATTTTTGTTTGCAAGTCATCACGTACAGTAGCTATGCGAGCTAGTATTATGATCCATATACGAATTTGTACTTAACATCATACATACCGATTTAGCCTGCAACAATGCTGATAATTTCTGTACGATAACTTTAATTTATTGATGAATAATCCGATAATGGTACCGTAATTATGGAATTCATTAATCTTTAATGTATCTTTGTTTTTAGAATCAATTTTCAGTAGGCGTGCTGTCTGTGATTGGAAAGAATATGCTATGCCTACTTGGAAAATATAATTAAATATATAAATTACTTACTAAAGTAAGTTATAGCTTCAGCCAGATATTAAAAAATAATCGTAATAATCGTATCAAGCGTAGGACATCAACGAAAAGTTCCTTTATTATTAGTTATGAAAAAAGTGTATGGTGAGATTCAAACCTGCAACCTTTCGCTGTCAAGGCGAGTATCATACCCATTAGACCACAGAGACCTACAGTATATGATATACGTCCAGGCACTTTCTCTCATACAACTGACTGTAACGCGCACGCGTAATGGAGCCAAGATAGCCGTTAACACTGTTAAATTATATATAAATTATCAAAGAAAGGTAAATACAGTGTTCGAATAAAGGACATGAAATACATACATCGAACACTGTATTTACCTTTCTTTGTTGA